GTGTGAAAACTGTCCAAAAAGATGATAGAGTTGCAAGGTGGAAAGAAACCCAAGAGGAGCACTACACCCAACATATTGCCTGCAAGGAAGTGTTTCATGTATCATGAGTTTAGACACATCGTCTCCAATTGCCCTACTACCAGAGTTGTATCTTTCACTAAGCTGGGAGCAGTAGAAGTGGACAACGATACTAGAGACATATAAGACAGTGAGGATGTGCAAGAGTACAAGATTCCAGTTGATGAGAGTATGATGCTTGTGGTTCGACGGATCATTCATACTAAGGATACAAGAGAGCAACAGTGGTTTTACCACAACATCTTTTATACTCGTTGCACTCCAAAGGGAAAGGTGTGCAGCCTTATCAACGATGGAGGTAGTTGTGAGAATGTCTTGTTTACACATATGATAGACAAGTTGAGTCTCACTACTTAAAGACATTTTCAGCCATATTTCCTTACTTGATCGAAGGAGGACAGAGTTATCAATAATAAGAGATGCCTTATAGAGTTTTCTATTGAGAATCAGTTGCATGGCTAGGTGTAGTTTGATGTTGTACCCATGAATGTCTATTATATGTTATTGGGGATACCATGACAGTTTGATCACAAGACTCATTATGATAGGTTTAAGAACACTTACTCATCAAAGATGGAAAGCGCATAGTTTTCCTACATTTTATGGAGTCTGGGGTTATAGATGCTCTTGTTATGAGAAATGCACTGGTGGGATCAATTTTGTGATGTTAAAGGGTAATGAGATAGAAGAGTCGATATCAAACACAGGGCAACCACTACAGAGAGAATTTTCTTGACCGACAACTTACCATCAGGGTTGCCACCATTATGGGAGGTTCAACCTATCTTTACTTCAGAGAGGAGTGAAGCAACGTTGAGATATTTTTGTAACTCTGTGGAGTACGTTTGACACAAAGTTCTAGCTTAGTTAACAATGTACCCACAGATGTTTAGAGAGACAGATGGTTACTCATCATTTGGAAGACTTTCTCAGGTGTTTTGTGAGACAATACATCCGACGGTGGGATTTAGGTGCTTCTAGAGACAAAATCAAAGACCCTTTAATCTCAAGAGGTTAAGGAAATTATGCCACCTTCAATGTGGTCGACCTGAGACTATATCACGAAGAGTCAAAAGCATCGACATATGAGTTCAAAGTTCCACCAATCCTTGTAAACTGACGCGGAGGCTGGGCAGGGCCCTAGACTGGTTCGATCCAGGTTGAGGTAGGGTCAGTAGGTCCTCTCTAGGCCTAGGGTTGCCTGCCAAATAGAGTGGGGCCCACTCCTAATAGTAGTAGATTTATTTAAGTGTATCTTCGATGTTTAGGCATTAATTTTTTATTAATTTGAATTCTACTCTTTTCCCATTCTAGAGTTTATCCAAGGAATTTGCGTGGTATTCCAGTTATATCTCACTCCTGAAGTGGTGTGTATCTTCTTCTACCCTTTCTCCAAACTCTCCCGTATCGATTCCCTTCACCCATGTAGCTTTCTAGCATGCTGCCACCTTGCCAAAACCCTTCACTTGCTGTTAACAGCCCCTCTGCCATCACCTACACCCTAGATCCAACCTTAGTTCTAGTGTTATGTTGTTATTTTGTTACAATTTCAGATTTCCCTATTGTTTGTTGTAATTTCAAACTTTGAATTTAGTAATAATGTTTATTTTTCCTTGGATGTTTGATAAATTCTGATTTCACAAGCCAAACGCAAGCCAACCCTAACTTGACTTATTAGATCACGAGCTAACTCATTTAAAAAATAATTAATATAAAATATATTAAAACTCAAGACTTTATCATTATATCATTAAAAATGTTTAAGAATATTTTACATTTTATTATTTATCAAATAATTGTCCATTCTATTTGTCAGTTTATTATAACACTAGCTTGAATAAAAAATGATCTCTCTTTCATGATAAAAAAGTCGGCTCAAATTCATAAGCTTAAGCTCAAACTAGATTAATTAACCAAGCTTCAAGCTCAAACTCAAACTCAAGCCGAGGGTGGCTCGACATTGATTAGTTTACACCCTATCTAGAACTAAGAGGGTTATGTTGGTTCTCACCTTCAGTAAATACCATGCCAACCAAACCTAATTAGCACCTCAACCAACCAAAATTAACTGTACAACAACAACAAAGTCTTTTTCCCACTAAGGGTCTGTTTGGGGCCGCATTTTTTGTGCGACGCGGCCCCAAACCGCAAAGCTGAGTTCAAATTTACTGTTTGGATATGGCGTTCGCAACAGCCGACAAATAGGCGGAACGCGGGCCGCGGGATCAACCCCGTGGCCCCTGCCTTGTCGAGCGACTTTTCCTCCTTTGCCCCGGCACTCCCCAATCTCGCGATCGAGCCTTGCTGCCCCAAAAATCAAACCTTGAACTTTGCCATGGCAGACTAGTTTGTTGGCCCAATCATGGATAAGATCATCAACGCTTGCTCTGATTACCTGCAAGATCAATAGAGATGGCAGGGGGGCATGAAGGAGGAGCTCGAAAGGCTGCGAGAAAACCACCCTAAGGTCCAAGCTGTCGTCTCTGCTTCCACCCAATCACAGATCAGAGCTCAAAATCCAGCACTCAACAGCTGGATATGGTAGCTGCGAGATGCCATCAATGAGGCAGATGATGTTCTTGATGACTTTGAGTACGTGAAGCTTGAATAACAGCTTACCAGAAACAATAAGCAACAAAACGTGCGTTCCACCATGAGCTCTTTAAAAAAAATTGGCAAACGTGCTCTCAAGTTGAATCCCAATTTGAAGAGACTGGAGAAGATTGTGAAGAAACTTGATAATGTTTTAGCTGAGGTCAACACTTTCCTTCATCTCATTTAAAACACGAAGCAGGAGCAACAGGAGCCGGAGCTTCAGTTGTGCAAAGATCGCGAAACAGGAAGCTTGCCTAAAAATGATCTCATCGGTCGAGGTGAGGAGAAGGATTTTGTGGCGTATTCCCACAAGATCATCAGTTTGATAAACATAATTTAGTCCGAATGTGGATTGCATTGGGTTTCATTTAAGAATCTTGGAGAGACTTTGGAAGATATTGGAGTATTTTGATGTTTTGGTCAAAAAATCTTTCTTTGATGAGTTTCACACAATCTATTTCTTGGAGAGACTTTACAATGCATCATGTAATAAATTATAAGATGCATGATTTATTACATGAATTGGCACAATCTATTTCTTCAGAGGAAAATTTCGGATTTGTGGGAGATTATGTTTTATCTTTTAAAATAACTAAAAATGTTAGACACTTATTTGTTAAAACTAAAAATCGTTTGTTGTTCATATGGTCTTCATGTCAGGAAAAAATTTCTGAGGCTATTAATATAATCATCTTATTAATTGTTATTTTAATAGTTTTAGACAATTTTTTTTGTAATTTAGATATTCACTGTGAAGTGAGGTATGTATCTGTAATTCTGTATTGTTTTAAAGTGAATTGTTGTCTTAAAAGTATTAAATTTATGACTATCACAGTTATATTAAGCACAACATTACAAAACAAGGGCAGAATGGTCATTTCTATAGAAACCGCTACGTCACAGCTGTTTTCACATAGTTGCCTCAAACAGACAACCAACTTACTCGCAGCAGCTTCCTAGGGCCGCAGCTACAGCTGCACCAAACAGAGCCTTAGGGGTCAGCTACATGAATCCTTTTTTTATCCATTGTTAGAAACCGCTACGTCACAGCTGTTTTCACATAGCTGCCGCAAACAGACAACCAACTTACTCGCAGCAGCTTCCTAGGGTCGCAGCTGCAGCTGAAAAGCTGAGAAGCTGCAGCTGCACCAAACAGCGGGGGCAGCTACATGCAGATGAATCCTTTTTTTATCCATTGTGACCTATTTAGTGTTCTATTTTCATTTAATCTAATAGATTAAAACCATTTTTAATACAACATGCCCAAGTCCTCTTAGGTCCACCTCTACTTTTCTTACCAAAAATCAAATCTAAAACATCTATACTCCTAACAAGATCATCAAATAATCGACATTTAATGTGACAAATAATCAGAGAACTCTCTTTAACCTTGTTTGACACTAGAGCAACATCAACCCTTTAACATATACATTTGTTTCGCATTTTATCTCTAAGTGTAAAGCCACCCATCCACCTAAACATTCTTATCTCAATAACAGTTGATTTAGTTTATGCTTCTCTTTCATAGGCTAACATTTGTTTCGCATTTTATCTCTAAGTGTGAAGCCACCCATCCATCTAAACATTCTTATCTCAAAGTTGATTTAGTTTATGCTTCTCTTTCATAGGCTAACAGTTTGCACTATAAAGCATTGCAAGTCTCACCATCATCTTATAAACTTTTCCTCTAAGTCTAAGCAGTATTGTTCTATCACACAATAGGCCCAATGCATTCCTCCATTTCAACCATCCAACATGAACTTTACTAATAACATCCCCATCTATATCAGCATCACTTTGAACAATAGACGCAAGATATCTATAACGTTCACTCCTTTTAATGACTTGATCCCCAATTGTAACAACTGCGCCATTAGATCTATTACTAAAATTACATTCCATGTATGTTGTTTTCTCTCTACTAAAAAGAAACCCTTTAGACTCTACAGTTGGCCTCCATGATTAAAGTATTTTTCTCGAACTCTTTATCGAGTCTTATCCATCAGAAGGATATCATCAGCAAAAAGCATGCACCAAGGTACGATCTCCCATAAATTCTAGTAAGAGCATCCATAACAAAAGCAAAAAAATACAGGCGTAAAGTCGATCCCTGATGTAATCCAACCAAAATAGAAAAATACTTGATCAATCCTCCTTCTGCTAGAATACAAGTAACATCTATAATATGACTTCAATATAAGTCTTATCAATGCAGGCCAGGATTAACAGTAACATTGAATATTTCCTTGCTTGGCATTATAATTCGCAAATCAAGAGAGATTAGAAAGTGGGAAGTAATTGCTGATAGTTTATAACAAATGCATAACCTGAAGAAGACAAGTGACCGCCAAGTGTAGACGGATGACCGGAACTAGAAATTGAAGAAAAATTGCTTCTTCGCAGTCCTTCAGCGGCAAGAATACAAAGCTGGACCAAAAGGAAAATGCCCAGGATTTGATATCTGAAATCAATCCCCAATGAAAGATTTATTAGTACAACATTCCCAAATAAAGTCAGACAACTACAGCAAAAAACGTGGATTATGACAAAATGCCATGTCCTCTGGGAAAAAAACACATAATGTAAATTATTCACAAAATAATGCAAAAAATTAAATCATATCTAAAGAGAATAAAATTAACAAATTGGTAGCAAAGTTTTTCTGTTATATCTTTTACTGAAATGAAGCAAGCATAAATTGTTAAGCTGAAACATTAAAACTGCTGGAATGTATCACTAAAACAGAGTTAAAGTGGAGTGGAATATTAGCATCTTGTTAATAGTGAGGGTACATTCTGTTTAATTCCAATACAGAGTTAAAAGGGCTATAAAATAAACCAATTTTAATATCCATATTAACATACTTATGGCTAAAACTCGACTTCGTTGTTAATAAATTTCAAATTTCCCAACAATCTAAGCCGTGCAATAGAACGCTTTTAACTCCATTTAGTTTTCTTCTTCTAAATTTCATGATTCCTCCTCTTAACCAGAATGATAATTGAGAGTGCTGAAAAGCAACCATTAGAAACAACCGAAAATGCTCCCAAAACACTACGAGCTTATCCATGATGGAACTCTGAATAACAATCATAAATTGGTTAATTAATTGAGAATGTTAAGATGAATTGGTTGTAAAAGTAGGAAGGATAATTAATAAAGAATTATTAGAGGAGTGAAGGATTTAGAAGCATTGAAAATAAGATGAATGAAAATACCTAAGATAATTTGGGGCGTGAATAATGAAATATATAAGAAGCACCAGAAAAGAAGGGCGAAAAAAATTAATGTGAAGGCATCAGAAACAGAAAAAGGTAGACTGAAGCTGTTTTGTATAAAGTTGGGCAAAAATAAATTAAAGTATTTACATGCATACCACACATCCATATCTATTTACATATCTAACACCTTAAATTTGATATTTACGCAAAAATAAATTAAAGTATTTACATGCATACCACACATCCATATCTATTTACATATCTAACACCTTAAATTTGATATTTACACATGTAGCACATCAGTGTATAATCATTTCAAAATATACACATGAAAAGATGCATTTCGCTTTAAAAGGATTAGTATTTGAGATGTTCTTGATGTGAAGTTAACGGTTTGAGTGTTAAATAAATACTTAAATTTAGAAGTCAGATGTGTTACTACATAAAATTTGTGTGGTGCATGTAAATCCCCCAAAAAGATTTGCAAATTAGATTTAACTGCAACACTCAATAAAGATGAATTAAGAATGACGATTGATAAAGACGAACCAAAATAGTCAAGATAGGCCTGAAGATGATGATGTCTTGGGTGGCTTGGTAAAATTTTAAATTGAAGCCAATGCTATTTTGAGCACCTGGAATATTTTATTGAGCTAAGGATAATAAAGAGAGGATTAAAATAAGCCCCATAGGCCATAGACCATTCACAAAGGGGTAAGTAAGCCTAAAATGCAAAAATGCATTAAGGGGGCTAAAAAAATGTTTAATTCTTTCTTTACAACAAAAATCTAATGAAATTTAAGAAGAAGCATAATATTTTTGGAAAATAAAATTCTCGAACCATGCTATCAAAATTGAAATCAAGTCTCTTGGGAATGGATAAGATGTCTTAGGCCTTCTACAAAGTCCAAGGTGGACAAAGTAAAAAATCAAATTTGCATTTTTTTTAAAAGAAATAAATGCATCCCCATTTTTTTTTATTATAATCAAAGCACAAAACTAGCTGCATAATTATGAACTTCGTATAGGGAACCAGAGAATATCCATACAGCTTAAATTAGGGCAAAAGGCCAAACTCGAATCCAAACTGAAATGTCAAACAAAAGGAAGATTTAATCACTCACTTCTCTGATGAAATCTTGCAAAGTTCGCTGTTCACCACAGTGTCATTAAGGTATATGCTTCACGAAAAAGACAAATCTCTCAACTCAATGTTACCATTGATATATTCTGCGCCCTGATAAGCTCGGTTTAATTAAATATATTTTTGTCTGGTTAAAGAGAGTAAGGCTAAGTAGGGATGATGATGACTTTTCTCTAGTAGAATTCTCATGCACTTTGCACTAAAAATAGAAAATTACATTATTTTTTAATGTAGAAAAACTTAGTTTATGCATATGAGTTTTACCTCAATGAGTCTGCCTTAAAAATTGGCATGAAAGCCAGCAGAGTGGAAGCGAAGGTAAGGTACTGATTGATGTACTGGTTTGTTGCCCTTTCAACAACTAATTTAAATTGAAACAACCATATATACTTCTTTTTTCATTTTTTGCAAAAAAATTTACCACAACAAGATAAGGTATAAAGAAAATGAAAAAAAAATGTATATAAAAGAACAGTCTTTTGGAAAAGAAAATCACTTTCCTAAAGAAAAATAAAAATTACTATGAACGTTAAAAGAATTTAATGGGCAAGGTTCGATAGTCCCTTGAATTGGAGATTCATATGTGCGTGTGCTTTTAACTCAACATACTAGTCGCTAAGGTACATTGGGGCATGGTGCAGTGCATACAGCTTTGGCAGGAGGCTCTTCTACTATAACTTGCCCACTCACTCACAAATCTCGCTAGTAAATAGCTATAATCTGAAAGCAAAGAATCACTGAATAAAGAAACTATAATAAAGCATGCCAATTTCAAAAAAATAAAAATAAAAAACAGTATGGCATAAAAAAATAAGAAGTACACTAAATTCTAAAGGAAATTCAAAGGTGAGGCCCCAAGGTTACTGCCACTCATATTGTATAATCACGGCAAACTTTGCAGTAAATAGTTATACTCATAAAGCAAATAATCACTTAACAGAGTAGTTATACCGCATTCTTTGATTCGATGGCTTCCCAATAAAAACATATCGAATGCCTGCTGCACGCTTTGATATATGATAATACAAACCTGGGAGAAAACATTCATTTCAACAACAATAAATCCATGCCTTTGAATTTATTTAACACAAAAAAAGTATTACAACAAAATGAAAGAGCAAACATAGTAACAGAAAAAATAAGTAAAAACTTTTTGCATAAATGTTGTAACGTATTTGCAGCACCTTCAAAATAGAAAAACATAAGGTTTGCTCGTAGAGCCAACTGGGCAGCTTCACGGGCAAATGGAAGAACCTGGATAGCCAGCCAAAATTTTAATTTGATGGAAAAGGGGAAATGCTAACCATTGGAAGTGTGGTAAAAAAGAAATAGAAATCTCAGCTGGTGATTCAAGTACCATAGGCCATTTCTGGACAGCCCATAACCATAAACCAATAAGCTTTTCTTTGAACTTTGAAATGGCAGAGATAAGCAGTCCTCTTGAAACTGAGCTTCCACTACTAGAAGGTTGTGTTTGATTCTCTCTCAAATAATTTCTTTCCTGTTCCCCAAACAGAAAATCATCCATGATCATACCATGAGCGGTCATTCTAGAGCTACAAGGTAAATTTGTAAAGGTAAAATGAATGTAATTTAAAAGAGTTCTAAGCAAATAAAAGAATAACCTACCACCAAGTGTAGTGGATAAAAAAAATGAGGCAAATGTTTGTAAATTTGAATAGAAGTCACAAACCTGAGTCTTTCTGCGAGATATGGAACTACGGTTTGGTAGAGGATGAAAACTACACGTCTTGCAGGTGTTGGTGGGAGCCCATACGAGTTTGCAACCTAAACGAAGCAACTAAATATGTCACAAATAAGTCACAAAATTCTTTGCAGGCTATTCATTTTTAAAGAAGGTTGAAATGAAAAATTGAAAAAGGAGATGATGACAATAAATATAATAAAAATGGAATTTAATGTTATAGAGGTAAACTGTAACAAGCAAGCTTCTAAATTCGCTTCAACTAACAACTATAGCAGATGAACAGTGACAGCCATAAAATTCATTTATATGAAGAAGTTTTTGTTGCATAATCAAGTCCATCATAGAATAAATTCAATGCAAATTCAGCCCAAGTAATTAAGCATGTAAGTATCCCTTTTATGTGGGTTGATTCAATATATCTCTATAGGCCCATTTAAAGACAAAATGAAGACATTACACATTTTTGTTTGTTATTGATGAGGGATTAAGATTACACATTTGAATGCAAGCCATCTTGGCTTAGTGGTTGAAAGTTTTATCTTTCAACTAATTAAGAGGTCGTGGGTCCAAGGATTTGCATACACGGGGTGCGTGTGTTTGGATGTGTGTATGTAAAAAATAAAAGAGGGATTCAGAAGAATACTTTCAGTTCCTTCTTCAAATTATTTGATTTCATCAACATAAATTTTTACAATAACATTTTCATATAGAGATAGAATGCATTTACATAAAGAGGCAAACTAAAACAGCTGGTAGCAGTTGAAAGGAAAAAAAGATTTATAAGAACAAAGATGAACACTATATGAATTTATAATGAAGAAGATGACTTGGTTAAAAGAAAAAAGAAAAAAGAAAATTAGCATCCGTGTAATATGCTTGAAAAATCTATTTTCTCTTCTCACTCAATGAGAGCATTGTTGACCTCATTTTTAGTGAGGTCATGAAGCACTAAGCACATATTGCAAGCAAAAAAGGTTGGGAAGATAACATACATACCACTCAATTTTTATGTTACTTACATATATAACACGTAAAAATTTTTACATATATGCCACCTGCCCTATGCATGAAAAGGTGTATTTCACTTTTAAAAGTTAAAATAATAGTATTTTTTATGTGATAAGACAGATTTGGGTGTCACATATATGTAAATACAAAGGAATTGGGTGGTGTATATGTAAATTCCCCCCAAAAGTTGTTAAGCTAATGATAGATACCATCAGAATATTGCAAAAACAAGAACCTGAGAAATATCACAATATTCTTCTCCTAATGTCTGCTGCCCTGCACCTGTTGTCAGTAGATAATACAATGTCTGACCCAGAAGCTTTATCTGCATGAGCAAAAAAATCCTTTCTTAGTTTATGAAATGCTTGTAAATCTGAAAAGAAAGAAGCAATAGTCAACCATTTACAAAGACCCCAAAAAAGCTTACTAAAGCTAACATTGAAAACATTGCCTAGCATTATGCATTCCAACTGAGAGATGGAATACACACAATATTTTCTCGTGGATTTCTCTTTCATAAATAAATAAGTAATCCTTCAATGCTTCTTAAGAGATAACAAAGATACTTAAAAGGTCTCCATCCAACATAAACGATATATATCTGCAACGCACAGCTGGGTTTATCAAGCTAAAATTATGATGAGGAAGAATCAATTATACATCAATTATACTTCTTTAAAACAAACTAAGACTTCATTTACTAATAAAGCAAGACAATAAAAACCTTGCTTAGTAGAAGAATGTTCAAATTTAAAGTAATTGCAAAATTATATAAGACTGTCGACCAGCATGACTATGGTTAAGATTCTCATCTGGCACCACTGAAGTTTTATTGACAAGGCAAGAAGGAGACTTCAAATGAAGCTCAACTACACGCACGAGCAACAAGCTACAGGTCCCGATCAATTTTAGCAGGAACTTAAAAACATTTAGGAGATTTTAATTCACTGAAATGTTCGTGTGCAAAATGCCCCATTACATTCACATAAGGATCATAAATTTCACACAACAAAATATCAAGTAGTAATCAATCATTTTTTTTTCATTTGAGGCTGCATAAGAATAAAATGAAGCAGATGAATTCTTGAACCTTTGAGGCAGATGAATTCTTGAACCTTTGAGGCAGAAGAATAAAATGCAAAATGCACGCAGATGAATTCTGGTAAATACTTCTACAGTTATACACATAAAATGAAATTTGAGAGTTAGGAATGCTTGAACCTTTGAGGCAGCTAAATACTATTTGGACCAATTGGTTCTACCAGAGAAGTGATTTTGCTCAGGTAGAAAACTTCATTGAGGGGGTATTTGCTGACAGATCGGATTTACGTAAATAGGATTTCAATCCGGATTTTTGGAGCGAAGGTCGCGAGCAAAGGCCGGGTAAATCCATTAGATCCGCCTCTCTGTGGAATTTACGAAAAACAAATTTGCAGACGGAACATCTATGCAGAAGACGGAACGGGAGGTGCTGGAAATCCGGATTTTAGATTTTTTTTTTTTTTTTTTTTTTTTTTTGTGTGTGTTTGGCTGGATTTAAGGTAAATCCATGGCCAAATAATGTTCAAAGTAGGCTACCAAACACCACCTAAATGTACCTAGGTTATGTTCCAAGCTAGTCAGAGTAATGTTTTTAGAGAGTTTTCTAAGTTTTTTAATCGAGTTCAACAGGAGAAAGGATTTTTAATTAATGTAATTAGAATTGATCATAGACAAGAATTTGGAGGAAAATTTTTTGAAAGATTTTGAGATGGTTGAAGAATTACATAGAGCTTTCGGCCTTAGACCCCTCAATAGAAAGGTGTTTGTGTTAACTTTTTCTTTTGCGCTCTCATTTATTAGTTTATAATCTACTTTCGGATTTAAAAGCTTTGTTAAATGCATTTTTATTTAAAACAGTTCTCAAGAAAAATTTAATAGCCCAACTAACCCCCAACACCTCTTGGGTTGTATCATAGCCATTAAATATCTAGTAGAACGTAAATCAAGTATATCAATCACTCGTTCTTAAAAAGAGAAAAGAAAGAGCTAATGTTGTAAATTAAGATTTTTAAAAAGGTACTCCAGGTAATAGTAAACAGATAATTACAAGGTAGCTTCAGTAGAAGGCATACATTATCACTGGAATTTGGTGTTATTGAAGACAGCCTAGCTGTCCGGTCCTTCAAAGAGCAAATCACATGGAATACAAGCACAATTGTACGAGAAAATGTTCAATTAAACCTATAAAGTTTTCATAATTTTCTTAAATATCAACACAACTTCAGCAACAGTGTGGCCGAAACGTTGAGCTACTCTTTCAATGTGCTCCTTCCACATCAATGCAACATATAGAATGCATTTGAATGCCAGAAAATTGAGTGAAACGAATAAAAAAAAGTTTAAAAGATCAATCAAAGAGCAAATTCATAGTCAGCCAAAGTTAGGATTCAGTTTCATTTCCTTCGCTTTCCTTCAATCCAAACAAAGTAATAGTTTCTGTAAAAATTCTACAACCTTGTTACTTAGATAAGCTACGTAGGCTAACCTTTATGCCAAACTGTGGATTTCCTACTGCTGCAATAAGTTGAGCTCCCTGTAAGCCAGCGGAAAGAAAGACTCCGTCTATATAGTAGTATTTTAAGGGCGCGGCAAGTAGCATTTAGTGTAAATAGGATTTAGCAAATCCTATAAATCTAAATTTATCAAATCCAGTGTTGTTAAATCCAAAAAATTATTTGGTACAGCTGATGTTAAATCTAGTTAAATCCGCTTGAAACGTTTGGCAACTCAATTCAAGATTTAAATCTGTTTGTCTAAATCGGATTTAAATATCAAATGTTGATGATCAAAGTTCAAATGTTACTTGTGGAGTTGACTGAAGTTCTTTTACTTCTATGTATATTCATAAGATAAACGCTATAAGCTAACTTAGGAAATTTTTACTAAGTATTCAATTAAATTAATTTAAAATTGAATGATTACCAAATTAAAGAAAACTTTGGCAAAAACCAACTAACCAACTCGCCATAGCCACAAAAGGAAATCAGTATGAACATGCAGACCTACAAACAGTCTGAATTGCAATGAAAATGCCATTCCCCACATCAATTAAGTTAACATTTAATGATTGCCAAATTAAAGAAAACTTTGGCAGAAGCCAGCTAATCAGCTCACTATAGCCACAAAAGGAAATCAGTATGAACATGCAGCCCTACAAACAGTCTGAATTGCAATGAAAGTGCCATTCCCCACATCAATTCAATTCCTCCAACAACTACAACAACAACAACAACAAAGCCTTAATCCCACTACGTGGGGTCGGCTACGTGAATCATTTTTCTCCATTGCGTCCTATTTAATGTCATATTTTATTCGTCCTATTTAATGTCATATTTTCATTTAGTTCTAATAAATTAAGATCATTTTGTATACAATAAGCCCAAATCTTTCTAGGTCTACCCCAGTTTTTCTTAAGATAAGTCGAATCTATAACATCCACTCTCCTAATTCAAACCCTTTCCTCCAAGAAAACAAAATAAAAACAACATTTTTGATGCCTTTAAACCACTCAAAACAAGTGCAAAACGTAATACAGCAACAACAACAACAAACTTTTATCCCACTAAGTAGGCCGACTACATAAATCATTTTTCTCCATTGTGTCCTATTGAGTGTTATTTTCATTTAATTCTAATACATTGAAATCATTTTTTATACAATATGCCCAATTCTTTTAAGGCCTACCTTTACCTTTCTTAACATAAGTCAAATCTAAAACATATACTCTCCTAACTAGGTCTCGAGATGGTCGATGTTAAATGTGATCAAATCATCTAAAATAAACCCTCTCTTATCATGTCTACCACTAGAGCTACTCCAACCGTTTCACGGATTTATTTGTTTCACATTTTGTCTCAAAGAGTAAATCTACTCATCCATCTGAACATTCTCATCTCAACAACACATAACTTAATTTTATGCTTCTCTTTCTTAAGTCAACATTCTATGCCATATAGCATTACAGGTCTCGCCGCCATCTTATAAAATTTTCCTTTAAGTTTATATGGCGCTTTTCTATCACAAAATAGGCTCAATGCATTCCTCCCCTTCTACCAACCAACTTGAATTCTACTAATAACATCTCCATCAATATCACCACCACTTTAAAAATAGACTCAAGGCATCAAAAGTGTTCACTCCTTTTAATAACTTGATCACTCATTATTACAACCCTATTACTAGACCTACTACTATTAAAATATATTTCATGTATTCAATTTTAGATCTACTCAAACGAAAATTTTTAGAGTCAAAATTTGATCTCCATAATTCAAGTTTTTATTAAAATCTCTCTCTAGTATTATCCACAAGAAGGATATCCTCAACAAAAAAACATACACCAAGGCACATCCTCCTGTAAATGTCAAAGTAAGAACATTCATAGCTAAAGCAAAAAAATATGGACTTGAAACCAATTCTTGATGTAATCGAACTAAAATAGAAAAATACTTGATCAATCCTCCTTTTATTCAAATACTAGAAACAATTCTACTATACATATCTTTAATGACTTGAATATAAACAATATCAAAACATTTCTTTTCTAGAACCCTCCAAGTATTTGTCTTGGAATCTTATCATGAGCTTTTTCTAAATCAACAAAAATCATATGCTATTTAAAATTTAAAAAAAAACGTGATTCAGATAGATAAGACACAAAGAGAAACAATACGGGGAAAGGGAAAGGAGAAAGTTATGTTATACTAATTTGTGGATACCGCTGGAGTACAAACCAAAATGTTCATTAAACCCTATCAGCAGGATGTAACGAAAAGTAAAATCGACAGCTTGAGATTAACACAGGAAGAGAACTAACCTCGTTTTGGAAAGCAACAACTACCCTCGTTCCTGAACAAGAACATGAACAGCCGCTTCAACAGGAAGGATAGGAAAGAACAGGAGAGAAGGAAGAACAAAACAAAGTGGTTTGGAAACTCCACCGAAAAGATGACGGAAAGCATCGCGGCATGCGTCGTGAACGTATGCAGCATATTGCTCGTCTTTCTCCGCCGCTCTCATGATCTCCGGCTGGGCGGCCGCCGGGAAACGCCGCTCAGACGACTCCGGGAGTCTTGAACTCGTCCCGGTCTCCCCGCCTGCGGTATCACGCCGATCCGCCATCATTTTCCTGCGACAACCGAGCACAGTTTGTCCGGCCGAGAGCCGATTACCGTGAGAACCGCTGCCGTGTCCCAGGGGAGACACAGACCGGCGGGGGGCCGGAGGTGATACATATGAATTGAGTGATATATTAATAAGAATTTTGTTAACACTATTATATATATCTATCTTCCACCCATCCAAGTGGTTCAATCACGGTCAGGGCCACCTGTCCAAATGACTGAATCAAGCCAATCTACCGAAGAGTTTGATCCAGCTCATCTTCGTCTTCTTGGAGAAGGTAACTTAAACTTTTCTTTATGAATGTATTAAAAAAGTCATCATAATCAATCAGAATATATGTCAATAAGACGTTAATACGAGGAAGAGGGGGGTCTCTCTCTCTCTCTCTCTCTCTCGGTGTGCTTCCACTTCCTTTCCTCATAGGCTCTCAATCTTTTTTCTTGAGAGTTATCTCTCTCCCCCCTTCTAAGAACTTGTAATTGAAGGAACCTCCGAGAAGTCATCTTCCTCTGGCTCGTCTGATTCCTCAAGGTTCCCTTGATGGATCTCTTCCATCTCTCTCTATAGCCCTCTTTCAACGATATGATATCTTCTATCAATTGTATGTACTCAGGGGTAATATTGGACCTTCCATCCTTAAATGATTATATATATGAGTATATATATATTGCAGTTACCATTAAAATTATTTCTCATTTTAATTTTTTCTCTTATCTGTCAAATAAATTTAAACGACTCATTAAAAAAATAAAATTATGAAGAAAATAGAAATACATTTATAGAAACATTAATTTTAAATTTACTCGGACCACATTTTATTTATTTCTTATGAAGTATTTAAATTAATTAAATATTTAATATATGTAAGTTTATCTATTTTATAGTAATAAAATTACAATACAAAATAAACTAGCTTCAATTAATCGATTTAAATTTGAATAGATCTAAAAAAATAAGTAACATGTAAATAATTTTCTTAGCAGTGGAAGATCTCTTGACACATTGATTAAAGAACAGAGTTGGATTTTACTTACTCAAATCACATAGTTTATAATTAATAATTTATTATTCGAAAAAAAAAAAAACTTAAAATGATTCTTCACCAAATTGAATGAATTGCTACTAAATTTCTTATTTTGTAAGAAAATTAAGAATGCTCATAATACCCCTATATGGCTGATATAGCCAACCCAATAAAACTGGATAAATTTAATAACAATGTTGATAATAATATATATTACTGGTGTAAATCATTAAATTGCACTGCATGAATGCTCTTTATTTATTTTTCGAGCACGATAAGCGCTTGACATGATCCCTTAAAATATTTGATTTTATTTCTAAACATTGTGATGAATATTCAAGCACTTTGGGAGGTCGTTTCTTGATCTATTTCACAAGTTAGCGGTGATGATATCATCTTCATCCAAAGTGATGAGAATAATATTGTTAAATAAAGACTTCTATTTATCAAATTTATGACATGAGAGTATGTGAGAATGTAATTGTCAACTATAATTAAAATATCCAACAAAGATGGACTACATGATTATTGGAGGATGCTCTCATAACCCTCCAAAATATTGTATTTTTAGTAATAAAGGTGAACATTGACATAAATAGCTATTTGCATTTATAATGTAAGGTCCACTTAGCACTACACAATTATTGTATTAATGATTTTAGGGAGCTCAATATATATGGCCACGACCATGAAGGATATTTAAACAAATCCTAAGAAAAGTTTAATACGCATGCATAAGTTAGAATTTCATATCAATTGTTTGTAATGATATTCTCAAATGTTGTATTGTTAAAGTACCACCATAGTAATAAAATTAAAACAACTATACAATACATAATAAACTAGCTTCAATTAATCGATATAAACTATTTCAAACTAAACTTTTTATTACTTATTAAGTTGGATAAATAAAACTCATTAACTCAATTCAATCACTCCACTAACAAATGCTTTCATTAAGGAAATCATGTATGAAGAATTGAATTGTCATTATATCAAGTAAAGTCATTAGAAAATCACTTGATAGTGCATGAATCTCAATGTATTTTAGATAAAAGAAACTTAAAATTTAGATTCAAAGTCATTCTATCTTTCATTTTAATAACTTTATATTCAAATTGAACATCTTAACAATACAAACTCAACAATAATAAAAGTTATTGATCTAAGCTAAATGAACTTAGATTATAAACTTAAATAATGATTAGAAATGTTAATTGAAGTGCCAAATGATCTACAAATTTAACATTCTTATAATCAAATCGTGTTTCTAGATGAGAGAAAATCAACAAAGTTGATTTCATTCAAATTTAAAGTCATTAAGACATTTAAATGCTAAGAGAATAATCTATGATCAAAGAATTTTATATGAACCATTTGATGGATTATTTTGGGATTCTGACTAAATCTATAAAAAATTTTCTTCTAAAATTTTATAAAAAAGACCACATTTCAACGCGAAGGGGCAAAGTGGTGGAAGCTAAGGGCTAAGTGAACACCCTTAGAAAGGGTTGAAGATAGTGATCACTAGTAATTGTCGATGACCGTCACTGTTGATTACTGTTACCCAAATATTATCTCGTGATTGTTGCGATCTCATTATTACTCCTAGGTTGTTGTTGTTGTCTAGTTATTATTCCAAGATTATAGTTGCTTGATCTTCGTAACTCATTCAAAAACTTGTAATCTCATATTCTCAATTTTAGAAAAGAGTGAATCTATGTAACTTCAAATATATAATGAAACCTTTGATTTTTTTCCTCTTAAGTTTTTTCATAAAATTGATGATAACTTCACTTTCAACTTATCTTTTTATCTATGTGTATTAGATTTTTGGGTAATGCTAAAGATATTAACATCTCATTATATCATAACAAATTTTCTAATGCGCAATAGTTTGACATCATTTATGAAAAATAATTCTAGGCTAGGGTCAAATTTTATTGTAATCTCCAAATGTTGCTCATGTTAACGTTCATAAAACAAGTATAGTATTACAGTCCCTTTGCCTTTTATGAGATCACTTTTCATTATTATTGTTTTTTAAATTCTCACCTCTAATAGGAGACTATCATGTAATCATTTATTAACTTTTTTCTACCACATCGAAAACAATGAAAGTATACGTATATTAAAAAATCAAAAGATAAAAAAGTCTCAAAAGATATACTTGCATCAAAAAGCCTTAAAAGGTACATATATATATATTAAAAATCTTAAAAAACTATATGTTTTAGAAGATATAATTATATAGAAAATCTAAAAAATTAATCTTCAAAGAAGGTATATGTATATTAAAAATTTTAAAAACCGAGCTCCCCGAGACTATCCTTCCAAGATTGGCGATTGATCGTTTCTTCAGGTCATCATCGCCCGGAGAGCTTTGAATTGGTCTATCATTTGTGCTCGAAGAGCTTGAACCTCTTCCTAGATGTCTTGCCGCACAAATTCTCTATTGAATTCCAGGGAAGCTGCGTTTCTCTGCGAAGTTTCTCCTTCATAATTTGTTCCGTTTATCGTCAGGGGCATGTCCACGCACATCGCATCACCTTTTAGGATGTTGAATCCTAAACTATCATTCAGATAAAACACGCCTCGAGAGTTGGAGCGGGAGAAGGAGAGTAGGAGAGAGAAAGTAGAGCCGACGGGTGTTCTTTTATTCATTCTTGGACCTTCTATTTATAGGGGGTCTTTTCGTACAATTACACAAATGAGGGAACAGTTATGAAAATCATAGTTATTGCAGTCAGTGCACTAATTTAATACACGATTCATGTTGTCATTTAAGTGTAATACAACAATCATTAGCAAATCGATGCATTTTAGTTCGGTTGAACAGTGCATCCGGTTGCGTGGCGATCACTCATGCCGAGACAAAGCATATCGATCGACTAATTGTGATTGGACGCCCTTGAAAGAAGTTTGGGTAGCTAAAATTGTATGCGTGACCCGTCGATTGAATCCATCGACAGCGTGGGTCTGTCGATTCGGTAGAGCAGTCGGTCGTCGAACGGGTGGTTCAGACTATGCTCCTTCGGTCTGTCGCTTTGATTGCCCGGCCGTTGTCCTTGGCTGTCTGATTGCTTCAAGATTCATGCTAGCAGTTTTGGCATAAACAGTTAAATATATAAATATATAAATGTATACAAATTGAGGGTTATATACGTAAATCTTCCTAAAAAAACTTGTGGCAGCAAAACCCTTTTACTTTTTCCAATATGGAAACATCTATACCCAACCGATTGCCTATGGACATAAACATTTGACTAAATTGCCTCAAATTATGACTAAACTTCGGTGCTTTATGAAACATTGGTTGGTTATGGGAAGATTCAACTTTTAGGTTCAAGGAAGAAGGCTATGCTAATATATATATATATATATATATATATAAAAGA